GGGGGGGGGGGAGCAGGTGGCCCGGGGCAGGCGCTGGGAACACAGCAGGGTGCAGGGGACGGCTCAGTCCTTACTGCTCCATGTCGACCTAACCCAGAACAGGCCCCATGATCAAAAATGAAAAGCATTTTTCATATTTTAAAATTGGTAAGGGCTCTTTTATGTTCACCTCCGTCCTCTGTCTAATTTAGAAGAATCATTTTGTTTCTGTGTACAGAATCTTATCAGGCTGGCGTTATTGGAATCCTTGATTTTGTGGTTTTTGAGACAGGGTCTCATCCCATTTCCCAGTCTGATTCCCATCACCTGGGCTCAGGTGATCCTCTCTCTTCACCCTCCAGAGTAGCCGGGGCCACAGGCACGTGTTGTCATGCCCAAGAAAATCTTTATAAAAGCTAATTTTCTACCTATATGAGTTACTTTCCCCATTGGTTTGCTTCGGCCAGCTTTTTATTTATTTATTATTTAAAAAAAATTTTTTTTTGTGGTACCAGGGATTGAACTTAGGACCTTGCACTTGCAGAGGAGGCGGTGGAAACACTGAGCTAAATCCCTGGGCCTCAGCTGGCATTTTATATACAGGCTGTCTTGCGAGTCTGCTAGCGTTGGCTTCTAGCTCTCTGAGAGCTGGTTAAAGAGGTTTCTCGTGCTGTGGTAGAAGCCCAGGGCCAGCACTTGCCAGGCCAGTGCTCTACTGCTGAGCTCTGCTCCAAGCCCTTACTTTAAGCCTTGAGACAGAGTCTCACTAGATTGGCAAACCTGGTTTGGAATTTGGGCTCCGCCTGGCCTCGGCCTCCCGAGTTGCTGGGAGGGTGGGTTGTCAGTGTCCGGGGAGCCAGGCTGGGGCAGTGTCCAGAGAATCTCTGGATTCTAAGCACGCTTGCATAAATAGTGATACTCATTCACTGCCCCACTGCACCACACGCATGTGCATAAACACACACTTAAGAGGTCAAAAAGTGAAAAAAAAGCAGACAGATTTCTGTCTTGTACCAAAGAGGATGCAGGTCAGGCATACAGCATGGGGAGAGGAGCTTGGGACCCAGCTGTTTCTTCAGCAGACTCCTCACCAGTTCCTATGTTTAGCAACATTTTGTCCGGTGCTGATTATTGTGGGGTTTCGGGGGTGTGGGTCAGCAGGGACCCAATTGCATCTTGGACTGGTGGAATCAACAAGTTTCAAGTTCCTGTTGTGCCCTCTGCAACAGGGAGTTGTTTGGCCTCCTCACTCCTTTGCCTTTATCTTTGTGGTCTTGGAGGTCAAACGCTTTACTCTCACTTGGTGAGTTCAAGGAGAAGGAAAGCATGTGTGTGTTTGATCCAAACGTGACCCAGGTGAGTTGGGTGTGGTGGAGCACGTGTAGTCAGTCCAGCACTCCAGAGGCTGAGGCAGGAGGATCAGCATGAGTTTGAAGCCAGCCTGGGCTACGCAGTGAGACCCTGTCTAAAAACAATGAAGACAGCAAAAATTAGGCCTCCTACATCATTACGAACGAAGGGATTTTAACATAACTGATGGGTTACTATTCCTACTAATGCTCAAATACCTCATCTTTGGCCAAGGACAGTGTCCTTGTTTTGGCCTCTGCCTCCTTTTTTGGTTGGTTTTGCTTTGTTTTTTTGAGACAAGGTCTCAGTATGTAGTTTAGGCTGTCTTTGAACTTAGTAGGTAGTCCAGGCTGGCTTCAAACTCAGGTGATCCGCCTGCCTCAGCCTCCTGAGTGCTTGGATTACAAATATGTACCACCATGCGCGGCTTCTGCGTGCTTCAGCCCAACCTGTTAGTGTCTGATGGCCTCTTTATTTTCTGGCATAATAAGATAACTCACTCTGTGTTCACCCCACCCCGCCAGGCTGGAATCATTTCTACAAGGAGCCCTTATTCCTGTTACTGAGAAAGTAGTTAGGGCCCACAACATAGGCACTTGGAACTCTTAAATCTTTGGCATACATACTTGTACTTTTGTTTTTTGTTTGAGACAAAGTCTCTCTATGTAATTCAGACTGGCCTTAAACTCACGAAGTAGCCCAGGCTGCCCTCAAGCTTGTAACCCTCCTGCCTCAGCCTCCCGAGTGCTAGGATTACAGGTGTGTGCCATCATGCCTGACTACTTGCACATTTGTGGTGTGCATACTTAAAAAAGCCTGACATTAGTATCTCTCTCTTCTTTAAAATGTTAAAATGCTTCTACTGTGTTGTCCTTGTTTTCACCTTCTGTGTTATTTGCATTTAATATGTGACATCCGTTCAGTTCTCATCATTTTGGGGGTTTCCTTTAATACAGCCAAAAACAAAATTTACTATCTATCCATTTGCAAATTTAAGTTCATCAGTGTATATGTATTCACATTGTTATGAAACAGATTCCTGGAACTTTCTCACTTTTGGAAACTGAAACTCTGACTGGTTAACAACTTCCTGTTTCCTCCTCCCCTCCCCCACCCCCTGGCAACCACCCTTCTGTTTTCCATCAAATACCTCAGGGGAGTCTGACCCTGCAGGGTTTATCTTTGAAGTCCAGTCCTTTTCCACTCAGCATCCCCGTGGTAGCAGGTGTTGGAATTTTTCTTTTGCAAGTCTGAAACTGTTCTGTGTATGGCCAGAACGTGTTTGTCTATCCGTTCCTCTGATGTGGATTCGTGAGTTGCTCCCGTTTTTGGCACGAAGAATACTGCTGTGAACATGGTATGCAGACACCTCTCAGTATCCTGTTTTTTGCTTCTCTGGGTGGGATTTTCCCACCATATAGACATTCTATTTCTGTTCCTTTTTTTTTCTTCCATATTTGAGATATGGAAGATTTGAGATTTGGTTATGTTGAGGATCTGTGCAGACATTTCACTTTATATACAATTCTTAACACGCATACCAAAAATCTAAAACACCATGTATTGTTTCGTTTTCAGTTATTCCAGTGACTTTCCAGCTTCAAGTGTGGAGGCAAATTTCATAAGAGAATTAAGTCCCTGTATCTTCAAATGCTGAAAAAGTATTACTTAAATTCCACTGATTTACAATTTCATATCATATACACTACATACTAAAATTTTTGATCTTTCACAGCACATTAATAAAATTAGGCAAACTGGACTAGCACGACCAAAAAACATGTTACAGAGTTCACACAGTTCTGACAGGGCACCAATCAGGAAACAATTAGAAATGAAGAAATAATTCTACTGGGCCGGGATTTAGCTCAGTGGTGCCAGTGCCTGCCTCACAAGGACTGGAGTCAGAAAACAATTCTAAAAACATCATGGGAATAGAAGTCATTTGAAATATCTAAGACATTAAGTACATGGCTGTGACTCCAAATTTCCATTTAGTATGCTTTATATTGCAGGATATAAAACTAACCCCTACCCATGGAACGTTGAGCTGACACCCAGGACAGTCAGAAGTCTGCCATAATTCAATATCCCACTGTTTTCTGGTTGTACCAGAAATAAACAACCAACAAATGATTACACCTCTAAAAAAAAAAATTATGCTTTAAAAATGATGAAGTGGGATTCCCTCCTTTTAAAATGTTTCTAGAGCCACTGAAAAACTTGCATTAACAAAATAGTAGTTAAAAATGTTCCTCTGGATTGTACAAGAAGGGAGACAGTGACCACTGATAAGATATGGTGTGTGATTAATCAGACTTGGCTTTATCTTTTTTGTTTCATCAGAGGCTGCATTCTCCTTGTTTTTTAGCTTCACCATTTTTCATAGGTAAATCTTCCTTAGTTTCTTTGCTTTTTGTTTTGGTTTTTTGAGACAGGGTCTCACTATGTAGTTGAGACTGACCTGGAACTCACTTTGTGGCCCAGGCTGGTCTTGAACTCACAGCGATCCTCTTGCCTCAGCCTCCTGAGTGCTGGGATTACAGGCATGTGCCACCACGCCCGGCCTTGCTTAGTTTCTTGATTAGGCACTTTGGCCTGTTTTCCCTTTGCTCCCCCTTTTCCCTTTTGCTTGCACTTTTTTGTCTGAAGATTTATCCTTCCCCACTGTCCTTTTTGGCTTCCTCTCCACGTTTGCAGGAGGAGGTCCAGCCAACCACCTCGCCAAGCTGACCTTGCTCTTGGGCATCTTGGCATCAGTGGTGCGGGGGTGGGGGTAGTTTGTGCAGAAGCTGCAGGCTGCAGAGCTACGCTGCTTGGTCACTGCCGCTCCTCCCACTGCCAGAGTAGCTGGGACCCATGGCAGGGGCAGTGGGAGAACTGGATCTTTTTCTGTTTCTTTGAGGACGCTCCATGCTGTTTTCCACACTGGCTGCCCCATCTTCCATTTTCCTCAGCACAGCACTAGGGTCACAGTCTCCCTGCGTCTTCACTGTGCTGACAGTGTGTGGCTGTCTCCTGGGGTTTTGCTTGAAAATGCCTCGCATTTTCCTGATACTGAATGGTGTTGGGCACCAGTCACTATTATCGGCGCTGTTCCACTCTTATCAATATACTTGTTTGTTTCGTTGCAGCAAGACCTTCACATAACTCTGCTTCTTCTTCTGGTTGAGCTTCCTGCCTTCTGCAATAGTATTAGTCAGCTTCCTGGCGGTGTGACAAAATACCTGAGACAACAGCTTGCCAGGAGGAAGTTTGCTCTGGCTCAGTGGCTTCAGAACCTGGTCATACCTGGTTGGCTGGGTGCATTGCTTTGGGAGCTGTGGCGAAGCACCTGACCGTAGTGTGGAGCAGGAGCAGAGGACGCCATCCCAACATGGGAGCAGAGAGAGAGAGAGAGAGAGAGAGAGAGAGAGAGAGAGAGAGGAGAGGAAAGGCTGGAGCCCGATCTCTGAATGATAAACCCCAGTGACATAGCTTCTTTC